GGGGAGGAGGGCAAAGGAGGCTGTTTTTGTCTGTTCGGCAGCCTGTTGCTCAGGGGAGGGGGCAGCCTGTTGCTGGCAGGGGGGCAGCGGGCGTGGGGAGGCACTTTTCCTCTGCCCGGCAGCTCTGCAGGACCCCAGTCCGAGCCGGCCCGAGGAGGAGGAGGATCCTAGGACCCAGGTGAGCGAGCCCCGGGAATGCTGCTGCGCATTTGCTGGAGTTGCCTCACCCCGTTCGTATCTAGGGATCCGACGTAAGTCGGGGACTGCCTGTACTAAAAGTTCCCAAATGTGCAGTGACGTAGTACTGTTTGAAATTTTTAAATACATTATTTTTATTTGAAAATAGTTCCAGGAACTTATAAATTAACAGTAGCATTGGAACAGGGCATCTTTGGACTGAAGCTCACCAGGCACAAATCATGTACAGGTTGAACCTCTCTAGCATGGCACCTTTGGGACCTGATCAGTGCTGAACTAGAGAATTTGCCAAAAAATGGGAGGTCAATTTTGTCTAGCAGCATTATCAGCACTTCCCCTGCTTTTACTGGGCTTTTAGAAGACATTTAGGGATAAATTAGAGGTAAATAACAGCAAAGAACCCTGAGCCAGGACTGATGCCTCTAAAGAAACTTTATGGGACTGAGGGAAACTTGTCCACTTACCTTGGGTGTATCCATCTGCCTAACTAAAATCATGTGTAACTAGAGAGATTCAATTTGTAATACTTTGTACAGTACAGACATCTTTGAAAGTGCTCAAGTTAGGATATAACCAAGTTAAAATATCTACCTCATCATAATGCAAGCCTTGGTTCAATTAAATATTAATCAGATATCCCATTTTTTTTCTCTTGATTTAGTTGGGGTTGATCTTGCTTTGAGCATGGGGTTGGACTAGATGACCCCCTGAGGTCTTCCAACCCTAGGTTATGTCTAGACTGCTCCCTCTTGTGCAAAAATATGCAAATGAGGCAAGCATGAAATATTGCCACACCTCATTTGCATAATTAATGAGGCCCTGTTTTTGCACAGGAGGCTTTTGTGCAAATAACCCCTCTTGCGCAAGAGCCGTTCTTCCTCTTTTTTCAGGAAGAATGGCTCTTGTGCAAAAACTGAGCCTCATTAATTACGCAAATGAGGCATGGTGATATTCCATGCTTTGCCTCATTTGCATTTTTTAATATTTTTTTTTGTGTGCAAAAGGGAGCAGTCTAGAAATAGCCATAATCTTCTATGGTACTGGTTCTAACTAAGAGCAGAAGCAGCTACCTCAAAAGCCAGTGTTAACCAGTACTTCTAATACATCATCACAATTTTATTTTAGATGTAAATTAAAGTCCACACCCATATAGAAGCTTTCCATACCCAAATAATTAATTAAACTTGCAATCACATAATTAATCTGCATCAAATACTCCTATAGAAATTAACTTAGCCAATAAACCAAAGCAGTAAAACAGACCCTTTAGCTCTCATAAGGAACACTGCCTCAAATTGCCCCAAAAATCTGGACAAATAGCTTCTGTAGCATTCCAGAAGATTAAGTGCTTTACGGACCAGTAGATTGGGCTTTTTCCCACTAAGGCAAAATTCACCATATCAAACCCTCAAGCTATGCCATTTTCAAGCCTATAATAAATTATGCAAGGCCAACTGAGCCAGTCACAACAATAGTTTAAAAATATAGCAGTGCTCAGTAGTGCTGTGTAAGAAGGCTATATTTATATCTTCATAAAAGCTTTGATTCACAGCCCATTGGTTTAAGTGGACTTTGACTCAGATCCTAAAAGCTATTCCTTTCATATCTCTTTACAGCTAAGTTTATTAAGCTTTGGTGTTGTTTTACTGCATAACCTCATAAAAGGAAAAACCTTTTCAATGGGCTATGGTGCAGTGGAAAGAAATGCAACAAATCAAGTATTAAAGAAATTGCATCGGCTTTAGAGAACATATGATAGGAAAATGGTGTAGGGTATTACAGAACCAGAGCCTTAAAATTCCTCTTCTGAAAAAGTATTTTTTCCTTTTCAATTGGTTTAACAGGAACTTAGATCAATCAACACATTTACCCTGCAAGCAGGAAATTTTTAACACAAGTAATGTTGTGGTGAAAAGAACTAATATTTTAAAATCTGTGTTAACAAAAGATATTAACTTATTGGCAATAATCACTTGAAATTGTGTCACAACCAATATGACTTTCTACTACTACCCATGCAAACAGCCCTGTCACTCAGCAATCAGAGGGAAGAAGGCTTCCAAGATATCAATAGCCAGGTGTCTCAGGACATGTACTTGAGACACACAATACAAGAAGGCAAAAGACAATTTTCCAGGAAAGTGCATGTCAGTGAGTCAACAGCTGTCTTGAACTAAACTCCGAACTATTTTTTATGAAGGAGCCTGAATGCTGTAAATAGCCAAGTGTCTGTCGCTTTTTCAGTATAATACGCATCTGAAGGCTGTTAGTCCAATAACCTTACCTTTGGCAAAACTGTCACAAGCAGTAGTACTTCAGTGATTCTAATGCGCCTAACTAAAATGTCTACTAATTGTATTTAAAAAAATATTTCTTTGTATATAATCCTTCCTACTTGAAATAATTTCGTACTTATATGATTAGACATAATTTTATCTCCTTATTTCCAAACCAGTGTTGTTGAATAAAGTGGAAAAGAGGCCTTTCCCCCCTTGCCTACAAGCTCTAGCTTCTGCCTGTCTTTCTGGTTGCATTTCTTTTTACTGCCATCTTTGCTCCATAGAATACACCAAACAGTCCCCATACGTATTCCACTCTCATTTAGGGTCATTTAGGCCTCTGTCTATACTTCCCTATAGGCAGCATGTATTCCCCTCTGTTCTAGACCATAAAATCCTACATGAAAATGCATGTAATTCACCAATGAAGCCTATAAACCAGAGCTTGCTCTATATGCCTGTCCTCTCTGACAGTTGCATGTACATACCTATACTTTTTTCACCTAATGGAGATAAAAAGCGATTGGGAGGAGAGATCTTGTAAAGTAAACTTCTGATAATCCAGCACCTTTAGGACCCAGGGGGTGCCGGATTATCAAATATGCCGGTCCATCAGAAGGGGGGGCTATGAGGGGTCTGGGATGGAGTGGGGGGGATGCGCCCCTCGGTGCTGCGGGACCAACCTGGCAGCATCCCAGCTGCTCTGCCCTAGGCAGCTGGGGTGCTCTGCTCCGGGCTTCCCAGAGTCAGTTTCAGCAGCAGCTGACTTGGGGAAGTCTGGGGCAGAGCAGCTGGGGTGCTGCCAGGTTGGTCCCGTAGCGCCACCCCTTGGCGCTGTGGGATCAACCTGGCAGCACCCCAGCTGCTCTGCCCCAGACTTCCCCAAGTCAGCTGCTGCTGAAACTGACTCTGGGAAGCCCGGAGCAGAGCACCCCAGCTGCCTAGGGCAGAGCAGCTGGGATGCTGCCAGGTTGGTCCCGCAGCACCGAGGGGCGCATCCCCCCCACTCCATCCCAGACCCCTCATAGCCCCCCCTTCTGATGGACCGGCATATTTGATAATCCGGCACCCCCTGGGTCCTAAAGGTGCTGGATTATCAGAAGTTTACTTTACAAGATCTCTCCTCCCAATCGCTTTTCTGTTACTCTTCTCTTTCACCTAAATCGGGATGGGGAACTTTTTTCTGATGTGGGGGCCCAGGCTAGTAGATTTTGTATGCTCCAGCCCCTTGGGGGGGGAGGCAGGGCCAGCACAGGCTCCCCAATGTTGGGGGGGAGGAGTCCTGAGCTCAGGGTGGGATCCAGGCAAGCTGGGGGCTGCATCTAGCCCCCAGGCTTGAAGTTCCCGAACCCTAACCTAGATCTTTCATTGCTTTTTGGGGGAGGAACCATTGTGATGGGTTGGATCACAGAGGTCCCCTTGTTACCTGGTGTGCTGATCAATCCACTGATCTGATACCTGCACTTTGTTCCCTCTGGGGTTCACCATCCCTCTGTCCTGCTGGGCCAGATGCTCTGGTCTCCCATAGCCAGGGCACAGAGTTAGGGTTACTGACCATCCCCTCCTGAAGAGCAACACAGACTCTCCACTTACTACCTAAGATGCCTATTGGAAACATCTAAGACTGAACAAGGGGAAGGATTGGGCCCAAGCTAGGAGGCTTTCTAGCTTATAAGAGAGAGAGGATTAGAACAACTGTAGAGTAAGAATTTGCATGTAACACATTTCTTAGTGTTTTAAGATTAGCTGGCTGTATTTTGTTTTATTTTGGCTTAGTAACTTCCTTTGATCTATCTGTTTTTACTCGCAAGCAAAGTGAATCCTACCTTTTATACTTAATGAACACTTTTGTTTACTATCACAATCCATGTAAATAGGGGCGGGGGAAGCAATCAGTGTGCATATCATTGAGAATGAACTACAGTAGACTTCTGATAATCTGGAACCTATGGGACCTAGGTGGTGCCGGATTATCAAATATGCCGGACTATCAGGAGGTACTATAAACTGGTTATATATATACTGTATACATTATATACTCTACATAAAGTGTTCTTAACCCTTTTTATTGTACATACTGTATACAGTATACTGTAATGTTTTAGTTTTTTTTAAGCCTGTTTTACCCTTTTTGCTCAGTTCAGCTGCTGCCGCTGTTACCTTGTGACTCATTTTTTGCCGAAACTCACTCACTAGGCTCTTGCCATTTTGATGCCGGACTATTGGATGCCGGACTATTGGAGTTTTACTGTAATAAGCTTTCTCTGTGTAAAACTTCTATACAGAGTAAGACTGATTTATTTGGGATTTTGGTTCTGTGGGGGGTTGGGCTCCTTGGTGCTGTCAACAGTGTCCTATAACTCTGCCAGAACTGGTTCAGTATCTGTGTTGCTCTGCAGGGAGGCAGTAACTTTAACTCTACGCAGTGGTTGGAGGACAGGGTGGTGAGGAGTCCAAGAAGGCAGGAAGGTGGGCTTAATGGCTTGACCAGCTCACTATGTGACAATCCCAAGGGGTCTTTTGTGATCCAACCCATCACATGTATGAAGAGAAGGCCCCAACCTGATGTTTACAGCCTGACAATGTGACTCTCCAGCTTTTTGAGTTCAGGCCTGCTTCTTTTAATTTCAATACTTCCCCTTCTGGAATATCCATTTTCCTTTACAGTTCTTTTAAAAAGTATGTTAGTGGCATTTGTTTGTTGTGAAGTACTTCCAGCTATTTCACTGGCTTATCAGCTGACCTGGCAGCTTTCCAAAGTAGCCAAGTCACAGGCATAAGCTGTGGAGTGACTACAATCTGGATCAGCCCCATGTCTCCATGGTGACAGAAACTCCACAGTAGGAGTAGCAGACAAACCAGAGAAAAGAAAATATCCGGTAAGGAAACATTTTCCTGTTCTCTTCCTACATGTTACTTTCAATCTATCCTCTTACGCCTGTTGTCTGCATCCCTTGCACCCAGCCCATCTAAACCTGGTTCTCTCTTCTCTCCCCCATTTCTTTTCTTTTTTGTCAGAGGGAAGAGAAAGTAGCTGCAACAGCAGGTGTGCATGACCCTGTAATTACATAGATGGCACCTGAGTCTGTTTAATCTCTGCTCTAGTTGTATACCCTGACTCATCTCCTTCGCATTCTCTCCCTTGCCCTCGGTTCTCTTTCTCCTTCCTTTTCCTTACATTGACTCTCCTCTTCTGTTATCCTCTTAACCTACTGCTACCTCACAATCTAAAATAAATATAATTAACAAAATGTGATACTTTTCAGCATGCTGATTTACATGAATGTTTTATTCAGCTCTATTCATGTGTCTTTTTTGAGTAGCAGCTCTTTTGGCTCTCCCTTGCCCTCGGTTCTCTTTCTCCTTCCTTTTCCTTACATTGACTCTCCTCTTCTGTTATCCTCTTAACCTACTGCTACCTCACAATCTAAAATAAATATAATTAACAAAATGTGATACTTTTCAGCATGCTGATTTACATGAATGTTTTATTCAGCTCTATTCATGTGTCTTTTTTGAGTAGCAGCTCTTTTGGGAAAGAGCTCTGCAGCACCAAGTATGATAGGGCCCCAGTCTTGACTGAGGACTTTTGCTCCCGATATGATATAAATATTTTCTTATTTTTACATGAAGAAACTTAGCCACACACGGTGACATGCCCAAGTCAGTGGGAAGGGTAAAATTAAAAACCTGGTCTCCAATCCCATACTTGAACCATTAGGTCCCTCATTTTCAATAAGCACTTAGCCCTTTTCATTCACAAATCTCCAAACAGTGGAAAAAGGTGCATTCAGTGCTATTAAATGGGGAGCAGTGCATCCTTTGCAATAATTTATAGTTAAAAGACCAGTCCAATAACCCCTGTTCTATTTGCATTTCTAATAACAGATATGGAATGAGGAATAGAGGGGAAGAAATTTGTGTGAGGATTTATTTGTCTTAATAATGTTATAGTTAAGTAAACAATTTGTGCCTGGAATCACAGCACCAGCATGCCAGTAAAGCAAAGGGCTTGTCATCAATGGGTAGCTGGATCTGGATAAGTATTAGTCTCTTTCTTTTTCTGATTTGGGTTATGGATTCATACCTGCAGAACCAAGGAAAGTGACCAGTTTGAGTTGTTGACAAACTGCAATCTGTTCTGGAATGTCCAGATCTCCTGATTTGTGATATAATGGAACTCCTAGGGCATGTCCACCAATTGCAGCCCTGTTGGTTGGGAAACTAGAACTGCTGGGTGCAACTAAGTAATTTTGAATGTTACTAAGATAAACTGTTTGTATGTAGCTTGAATTACAGACTGCAGGAGGCAGCAGCTCCATGCCTCAGGATGAGAAGGACCCAGAGATGTCCTGCCCTGTCAATGATCCAAAGGAGACTGAATCAGAGGCAGGAGATATGGGAGACCTGTATGAGGCTCTGGAGAAGCTCCACGGGCTCTCTGATGGGGAGAAGGGGGAGAAGGCTCTGTTACGCTCACGCCTCCATGAGCAATCTCAGCTCATCTGCATATTGAAAAAGCGAGCGGATGAATCTCTAATGCGTTGCAAGGCACTGGAGAGGCTTAACATGGAGCTGGAAGAGTTGAGGATGGAGGATCATGTGAGACTGGAAAGTCAGACCCGGCGGGCCCAGCAGCTGGAGGAGCGCTTTATGGACCTTGCTGCCAACCATGAAGACATGATCCGCTTCAAAGATGAGCACAAGCAGCAGAACATGCTGCTGAGGGAGGAAAATAAGCGCCTGAGACAGGAAAACCAAAGCCTTTTCAGCCAGGCTCTGAAGGAGAAAGAGGCTGAGGTTCTCCATCTCACTTCCCAGGGGAAGAGGCTCTCTCAGGAAGTAGATTCCTTCAAGAAGAAATATGCTGAAGAGAGCCGCAGAGCCCAGGAGCGAGAGAAGGAATTATTGGAAGCTCAGAGACAACAAGCCAGCGTCCATGCCAAGGAAACTGATTTACTGAGAAACCAGCTGCAGAGCTTAGAGGAGAAGCATTGCCAAATTGCTGCACAGTGGGAGCAGACAGAAAAGCAGAAAAAGGCTCAGGGCAGTGAGTTGCAAGCCAAGTTGGAGAAGGTGAGCCAGGAGAAAGAGGAGCTGCTGCATCTGGCTATGGAAAGGGGCAAGACACTGCAGGAGAAGCAACGGGAAATTCAGCAGCTGGAGAAGAAGCTGGAGGCTGCAGAGAGGGCCAGGTTGACAGCAGAAGAGCGCTTTGTGAGAGAGGTAGCAGTAGTGGACAGCAACCTAAGGGTCCAAGAGCTGCAGCAACGTCTGGAAGGAAGTGAGCAAGCATGTAGTGAGCTCTGGATGCAGTTTGATGCTTACAAGAAACACAGCACAGACTTACTAAATAAAGAAAAAGAGCTAAATAACAAACTCCGCCACTTCATGTCATAACCCCTCACTCTGTTGCAGCTGTTAATGCACACCTGTTTATTAGTAACCCTTTAACTAAAATAATATTTATCAGATTTCTTTAGAATGCCTCCAAGATTTACAAATCTTTTATGAGACCTGATTTGAAGACCATTTTTTGTTTCCATGCTACCCATTTTGAAATGGCAGCTTAAAATGTGTCACTTTGAGTTAGCAAGACAAGTTATGTTAAATAAAACTGGGAAACAAAGGACTTTAATTTAGAAAATTCATAATCATTTATGAGTTTGTTTGTTTGTTCCTTGCCTCTCCTATTTCTAGCACTTTCACAGCGACTAAAAATATTAAGCATTTTATGTAGCAAATCAAAAGAAAAGTCTCCTGCTCTCAAGAGATTGGATTTATTACAACAAATTGTTGATATACAGTTCAGTGGAGCTGGAAAGGGAAAAGGGATCACACCAAGAACATCAGAGTTTATTATCTGGGTGGAGCGATAAAGCAGATTAGTATTTGTACAGTATCTTTTATTAGTGAGAATGATTTCCAGGTAGATGATTAAGTTATCTATTTGTTAGGGATCTGATTCAAATTGATCATTCAAATGAAACAGGAAAATCCCATCAACTTCCATAGAGCTTGGTCAAGGTCCTAGGTTTGAAAAATGTAGATCAGTGGAAATCAGGTTTAAAACCTGACTTAATACATCATCCCTAATAAACTGAGCCTCACACTGTGCTATATGATATACCAGGATAATAAATATAACACTTTATTATAGCAACAGGTCTGGGCAACGAGTGAACATTCAGCTGGGGAAGGCAAGACCAGCCCATGCCCCTTTTGCAAGCTTTATTCTCAACTCTGGACCCAGCTCTCTCTCCCCCCATTCCTGGTTATTGCCCCCAGCCCTTGAACATCCCCAGGACCCTTAGTCTCACTCACCTCTGTAGATGGCGCAGACTGATCCTTCCTAGTGGGCCAGAGAGCTGGGCAGCCTCACTACATCCCCAGCCCTCCCAAGAGCCAGGAAACTGGGCAGTTTTGGGAAGGCAACATCTTCCCTTGCTAATATTACCCACTGTCCATGCCAAGAGGAGTACTGGCAGGGGTTCTGGGCAAAACCTTTCCACTCCTCTAGTGTGACTTCTCTGTGCAACAGAGGTGGCTGCATTTCAGTGGTACTATATGGGTTCATAGACCTACCCTGGGTATAACTCTGGGGGTGAAAGTGGCTGCTGCTGCTTCATCATAAGTCAGCATTTATAAAAGTGGGCCACAGACTCTGAGAAAGCTGCTAATGGGCCACTCCAGTTTGTCTACTTACTGACTCCGCAGCCACAGAGCCTCGCAGCTTCCATTGGCTGTGGTTCTCTGTCTGTAGCCAAGGAGAGTTGCAGGAAGCAGTGCCCTGGGTGGCCATGCCACTTCCTACTGATCTCCTTGGCTGCAAATGGTGAACTACAGCAAATGGGAGCTGTGAGGCTCCACAGCTGCAGAGCCGGTAAGTAAACAAACCAGAGCAGCCCATTAGCATTAGTGGCCTGTGGTCCACTTTGAAAAACACTGTTGTAAGTAGATGGAGACGGAAGGCACTTTTCAACAAGGCAGCCCGTTTTTCTAGCTTTATAACACAGACATGGTACTTGTTGCCTCTAAGACAGGGGTGGGCAAGATCCAGCCTGTGGGCTGCCCTGCCAGCACCCTCAGGCACAGAGCAGCGCTACACCGCTTTAGGAGTATGTCTAGACTACAGGTTTTTTCCGAAAAAAGTGGCCTTTTTTTGAAAAAACATAATCTGCATCTAGACGGCCGTCACATTCTTTCAAAATTAAATCAAAAGAACCCGGCGGTTTTTTTGACAGCGGTAAACCTCATTTTACGAGGAAGAACACCTTTTTTTTTTCTAAAAAGAGTTCTTTCAAAAAAAAAAAAAAGGCATTCTTGAATGCAAACAGGGCTTTTTCAAAAGAGAGCATCCAGACTGCCTGGGTGTTCGCTTTCGAAAAAGAGGATCGCTTTTTCTAAAGTTGTGTGGCTGTCTAGACGATCTCTTTTGAAAGAGCTTTCAAAAAAGTCTTAGACGTACCCTAACTGGCTGACTATTCCTTGTGTGTGTCTGCTGTGGGAACCTAGGGGAGGCGGAAGAGGGTTTGGGGAGGCTCTCATTGGTTCTGGCATCCCTCTCCCCCCCGGAGAGTACACAGCCATTTTGAGCAGCATGGGACTGTGGGTGGCAATGGGTCTGCCTCAGAGTTTTGAAGGGCTGCTGTCCAAAACCTGCCTCTGGGATGCCAGTCCCTTCATTCCCTCAACTCCCTGCCCCAGGCCACAACCCCCTCCTGCCCCAGCTCATCAGCCAGTTCCTCTGCAACCCCTCGCCCAGGGCACAGCTCCCTCTCTCCTACCCACTCCCGACACTGCACTCCATTCCCGTGCCCCAGCTCACGTATTATACACCCCTCCTTCAACTCGCTCTCAGACCCCACACCCTGTCCTGCACCCCAGCCCCTGCTACCTTCTGCACCCAACTTCCATGCCAGACCCCGCAGCCCCTCCAGAGAAAAGTGCGGCCCTTGACCACTTACCAAATACTGACCTCCCCCCCCC